GGGCCCCAGGTGTTTTCAGATCAGCATCTCCCTGTCTGCCAGAACTTGGGGTGTCAGTGGGGAGGATCCCAGAGGATGATCAACAGGACCCTGTCTCCCAAGTCCCTGGATCCACAGCACCACCCCCAGCCTCTCCAAAAGCCAGTCACCCCATTCCCACAGCCTGGCCTGCACACTGCCCTCCCTCTCCTGAGACACTCTCCAGCAGTCCTGACCCTAGGGAATTCTTTCCAACCGGATCTCCACATCCCGCCCTCCTGCTGAGGCTTTCCTGCTCCTGTTTGGGGCAGGAGATTAGGGTATGGCGGGCCAGCTGCAAACCACACTGCACGCAGGAGGTAACCCAAGCCGAGCCGGAACAGAGGCTTATCAACATGTGACCTGTCAGTCACAGCCCGGTGAGCCGAGCAACTTCCAACAGACTGGATCTGAGATACAAGACAATGGCCATTGCCTTGGCTGTCACTATCACCTTGCTGTCCTGTGGTCCTCCTCTTTGCAGCAGTCTGTCCTGCTTGCAGGACGTCCCCTCTTGCTCTTCTCTTTTCTTCCTTTCTCCCTTTTCTTCCTTTACTTTAAATAAAAGCTGTGTTTCCCTGTTCCCTGCTCGTCCTGGCTAATGCTATGGGTGGGAAGGAGAGAGCCTTGAATCACTGGACACGGTACTGACCAGCAACGCGTTCACTTACGAAGCAAAGCTCCACCCCGCGGTGTGATCCCAAAGATCCTCCATCAGCCCGCCTGCTCTCCTGCCTCCTCACACACCGCTCCAGACCCCCTCACTCATCTCCGCACCACTGCATCCTAGCCCCTCTTCTTGGAGCTGGGCCCCTGTGGCTTTGTGCCTTTTGAAATAACAGCCAGTCTCTCTGCTCCATGCAACTCGCCCTGGGTCCAGCCACTTCTGGCTGCCTTGCCAGCTCCAGGGCGGCCGGCTTGGAGCTGCACCAGGGCTGCCCTTCCTCCATCTCCTCTCTCAGGGCAGCCTCTCAGCCTCCACATCTTCATGGGTTTTTCATGCCATACCCTGCCCTGGCACTGGGCCTCTCCGTCCATCACCCTCCTTACACTCACAGAGCCTTTGCAGGGTTACATCGCCTTCCGGGGCAAGAACCAGACCTGCTCATGTCCTGCCGTTCTCCCCAGACCTCGAACAGTGCCTGGCCTGTGGTTGGCCCTCAGCAAACATTTGTTACTTATGGATGAAACAGCGAGTGAACAAATACTTGCTTGAATATTTGCATTGAATACTTGCTTTACAGAACACATTAAAAGGAAGTTGTAGTAAACTGGGACACAAGTCACTACAGTGAAGGGGTGATAAGGAAATTGATCTCTGACTGGGTATTTGATAGTATTAAGAATTATTAAATTTCAGAAATCATAAAATATAAGGGGTTTGAAAAGTCCTTTTTATAGCTATACAACGAACACAGTATTTATAGATGAAATGATGTCATATTTTTTTTTCTTCAAAATAATTGAGGGTAGAGAAGTAAAAGAGGAGATAAATTAAATAAGATTGGCCATGACATAAATGATTGTTGAAACTGGGTAGGATTATCCTCTCTATTCTTTTATACATTTAAAGCTTCTTATTTTTCAATGTAATTTAATTTAACTGCTTTGGTGTTTCAAGTCAGGGTTTCATTATGTAGTCCAGGTTGTCCTTGAACTCATAAGTAGTCCAGGCTGAACTTGAACTCACAGTGATCCTCCTGCCTCAGCCTTCTGAGTGCTGGGATTATAAGTGAGCACAGCATCCCCATGTCTGGTAAAGTTTTTATTATTAAAGTAAAAAAAAAATTCACATCCAGGGATGGGTGCGGGTGGGAGATATTGCCAGTAAAGGCAGATGAGAGAATGAACCCTTCCCTCACCCCTCACCCCCCCCCCGTTACTTTCAGGCTTTCTCTGCTCATTTCAGGCCGGATTTTTGCTGAGGGCCCCTGCAGCAGAACAGTTTTCCAGTCACTTCCATAGCATGAAAACACACTCCTCGGCTCAAAGCAGGGGAAGCCTGGGGATTTTCTGGGTGCTCTCTCTGTCGTCGGCTGGATCTGTATCAGTTTGGTCTTGCTCAGGTGAGAAAAGGGACTCCCCCGCCTGGGGCTTTGGATAGAGAAGGTTTCCCAGGGGTTAGGGAGGGGACGGCAGTGCTGGGAAGAGGGCACAGGAGCTGGCCCCTTGGGTGAGTGGTGAAAACACACAGTTGTGTCCACAGCTGCCCCAGAGCTGGCCCAGGCGGCAGAGGCTGCCCTAAGAGATCCCTCTTCTTGTTGCCTTCAGCAAGGACAAAACCACCCACACCCTCCAAGAGTGGATGTGTGACTGTTAAGCTGGATCTTCAGCTTGATCGGCTTGGGAGCCGCCTAGGGCTTGGTAAAGCACACTGCCAGGTATGTTTCAGTGGGTGGTGGAGGCGCGATACCGGGTACAATATCTGGTCTCTGGCACCTTCCTCTCTGGAGCTGCTCCCTGTTCTGCTTCCTGGCTGCTGTGAACTAAGAATGTTCGCTCTGTCACACAGGTCCATCATGGTGTTTCTGCCGTTACACCAGCCCACGGCAGACTGAAACTGCTGGAAAAACCAGCAAAAATAACCCCTTTCTCCTTTAAGTTGTATATGTCAGGTATTTGGCCTGATAAAAAGCTGACCCATGCAGGGTGCTAGGCTGGACAAGAGTCCACTCGTAGGCTCAGGTATCCAAAAGCATTTGTGAGGGGCATGGGCACCGGGATACTCTGGCTCCTTTACCAGGGCCAGCAGAGAAGTTTCCTGATAGAAACTGTGTCTATCATGAGGAAGAGCTCCCCCATTTCACTGGGGAACATAAATCTAAGTAGGACTCTCAGGCGGTCCCTGCAACCACACCCAGTGCCCAGGCTGGGTCCTGTGCCTGCTGGCACAGGTGCCAGTTGGTGCCAGGTTGTTTAACAGCCTTTTTCTCCTTCCTGCTGCCTTCTAGCAGCCTCTGCTCCAGGCACAGGGCTGCTGTCACAGCCATTGTTCTGCACCAGGATCCCCACTGCTGGCCTCTGGTTCCCAGCATTGCTTTGCCTTCCGCACCAGTCCTCCCTTACTCCTCCTTCTGCCTCTCCACCTGTGTCATCAGGGGTGTCACTCAAGACCCAGCCTAAGAAGGTCTTCTGTCCCAGCCCCTTTCCTCACTCAATGCTGGCTGTGACCTCTGATCTCTGAGCAAGTTGCCAGCCTCCGAGTATGACTGCAACTCAGCCCGCTACCGAGTCTTCACACGCCCTGCACATCACTAATACCTGGACGGTCAGCCTCACTGCTCAAAGGCAGTGATGGGCCTCAGGGGAACACTCTTGGCCTAGCATGGGGAAGATGAAAGAGCTTGCAGGATGGAGCAGCCAGGACGAAGTCCTGCAAGCTAAGCTCGGTCCCTCCACTAAGAACATGCTCTCTCTATACCTTGGTTCTCTGCCCGCCAATGAGACTGGCCCTGAGCAACCTGGGCTGTCGTGTCACAGTGGCAGAACACAGCGATCGAGCTAAACAGCCGAGCTCTGTGCCATATGGGGAACACAGGTTCTCGGATGAAAGGATGTGCTTGCTTTCTTCTAAAGCTAGCACGATCCAGCAGGTGGCACCTGGAGAGGCAGGGTGCTGCGGAGAAGGCAGTTGTGGGTTGGGCTGGGACCCTCCGGGGGCCTCGCCCCCTCTTCCCGTCCCTCCGCCCATGCCGGGCCCTGTGACCAGCAGGCTGCAGTTGGACAACGAGGGCTGTGAGGGTGATGGGGGGGGCAGGGCTTGTGCTGGAGGATTTGGGGCGGGGGCTGCCACATCTTACCTCTCTTCTTGGCAGAATGCAGACGCTGTGTCCAGCCTGGGCCTGGGTGCACTTGGCTCTTTAGTGTGGCCTGTTCTCTGTGCCCTGCCCCCTCTATCCAGAGCCCTCTCTGGGGAGAAGCCATGTCTGGGGCCCCAGCCCAGGGAGCTGGGCTGTGTCTAGGCAGAGAGGCCAAGGGGGCTGGGTGGATGGCAGAGGTAAGCCTGGCCCTACAGTCCTCGAGGGTTCCCCACTTCCTAGGTGAGGCCCTACCTTGCCTCCTTGGCTCGGCCTAGCTCTGCAGCCTCAGCTCCTGCACTCTGTGGGCTCTGCGTTCCTGCTCCTCTCCCAGCCTCACGCATGCTACTCCCTCTGCCCCTCAGTCATCACTCCTCCTCGCTCCCCTCAGCTTGTTCTCTGGACTTCTAATGAGTATTGCCTCTTCATGGAAGCCCTGCCTGACCACCAGGCTCCAGCCTGCTCAGGCTGCTGCTTCTGTAGCTTGTATGCTGCTCCTGTCTCTGTCTTTCCTGTAGCTCACACCTGTCCTGCTTGCCCACCCAGTATTCCTACCCCACTAGATGTAGTTCTTCATGGCCTGGATTTTACCTTCCAGCTCTCAGCCTTGGTCCACAGCAGCCATACTAAGTAGTCAGTGAATGCACAGGTGGGGAAGAAGATAGGAAGAGAATCAACAGAGGAGAGGCTGAGGTTCCCAGGATCGCAGCCCAGGAATGCAGCAGATCTGGGAGAAGCCTACAGTGTTCCCAAACTACTGAGGCCCTGAGAGCCACTGGCTGCCTTGGATTCTACCAGCCACCCAGGGGCTACTGGGTGCAGACCCACCTCTGTCTTGTGCTCAAGGAAACCAACCTGCAGGAGCCAGAGGGGAAGAGGTAGGGGAAGCGGGGAGGATCCAGGAAGGTTCTGCAAGACAGGGCCCTCAGTCCTGGGTTTTCTTTCACCCAACTGGGGTCCCTTGCGTTTCAGAGTAGAGAAACCTTGCTGGGCACTGGCATGTTGGCACACACAGGGAGAGACAGACATGGGAACACCGCTGGCCATGATGAGCCTCAGAGCCCCAGTCCCTGCTAGAACTTTGCCATCCCTCCTCCCAGCCTTGTGTTGTTCCCGTCAGCCTCCAGAACACAGCCTGGGCCAGCTCGTGGAGCTGGGGTTTCTCTGAGAAAGGGGCTTTCCTACCTCGGAAAGTCACTTTGGCGATCCGGTCGCCCTTGCCCCGCAGCTCCGAGACTGTCTTGAGGTGGACAAGCAGGGCCATGCTGGTGAAGACAGCCTGGACAGCGCCAGGCAGAGAGGCTGGAAGGAGCTGTCTGATGGAGCGCAGCTCACACGCCTCCCTCCTCTCCCTGCTGCTGCTGCCTCCTCCCGATGCTGCCCACAGAGACTGAGGCAACAGAGCTGAGCGCTGTTCCGCGACTCACAGAGCCTCACAGCCCTGCTGGCCCCGCCCCTCTGAGTAGTCAGCCCAGTGTATGTGGAACTCTGTGTGTGTGTGTGTGTCTGTGTGTCTGTGTGTTGCACCCAGCCGTCAGCCTGGGAGTACACATGGAATCGGAATTTATTATTCATCAGCACTGACTCCAGATAAAGCCCTGTCCAGCTTCAGGTGTCTTCTGCCAGTGTTTGCTCATCCCTCAGCAGGGCTGAGCAAGCTCTGCCATAGGAGCACCCAGATGGCAGTGGGTATGAGCATGGGGGGTGGGGATGGGGCCAGGGCACCCCTTCCATGAGGCTCATGATCTGCATGCACAGGAAGCTGGGCCACTGCCCTGGCATGTGGGGGATAATCTGTGCCATTTCCTGCATTGTCAAGTTGGCCATTAGGGCTGCTGGGGACTGGAAGGCTCAGAGAACCTGGACAGGCTGGGCCTGGCAGCTCTAGATGGATCACACTGTGCCATGCAGAACTCTTAATCCAGGGTCTCTCAGCCAGACAGCCAGCATCTACCAGGCAGCGTAGGATGGCTGGCGGCCATTCCCTTAGAGACATGAGCATTAAGAAAAGAAGAGGTGCAGTTGACCAACTGTCCCCTGCCAGCAGATTGTGCCCCTGGGTTCTGATCCCCTATCCTGGGATCATGGGATCCAACTCTCAGGGAACTGGGAAGATGGGGCCGTTGCTTGAGAGGAAGCTGAGGCCATGCAGGAAGGACTGGGACTGTCTGGCTGTGAAGGCCACAGAGGTTTGTGTTGAGCTAGAGCAGTGCACAGGGCCAGGGAGCCAGCCTGGCCCAGTCCCAGGGCTGGAGGTGAAGAAGGCTGGGGGAGGTGAGGTAGCTGACGTGCAGTTTCCTGCGAGAGGAGAGCTGTCCTGCTTCTTATTCTAATAAGCCACATGAGGGAAGAAAAGGGACTTCTGGGGCAGAAAGAAACAATGCAGAACTGACCCTCCTGTCCCCTAAGAGGGGCTCATAGGGACAGCTCCCCAGGAGCTGAAATCCCTGACCCGGGGCTTATGAAGGGTCCTCTGCACCCTTGCGCCTACTGTTCTTTCTTGACACAATGTCCCCCGCTCCACTCCTGCCACCTGGCCTGGCCTTAGCCTTTAGGTGTCTATTCCTCAGGTGCCTCTGCACCCCCATCCAGGCAGGGTCAGGATTCTTCCTCCTTTCTCAGGACTTCTGCTCCTCTCATCTCAGAGTGTCCTGGGGCTGCACCACCTGCCTCTCCCTAACTGCACCCCAGAGTCTCACAGGGTATCCTTCCAGTTAATGGAGATGGGATGAAAGGCTGAGCTCTGTGACTGAGGAGAATAATCTGAAAGTATAAATAGAGAAAGATTAAACTTCCTCAGCATGGCAATAAGCTGAATTCTGCAGTCTAACTTACCTGTAAGATCTCCCAAGAGCCTGTTTTCTCTGTTTCTAGGTGTTTCTTTGATAATTTGTCTTATTTTTCTCTATCTATAGTCTTTTCTTTCCCATCTTTCCCATCTTTCCTGCTCCATTTCCTGCTTACTTTTCTCACATTTATTTAACCATATAGAATTTTTAATCCATGAGTTTACCAGGTGATCTATGTGTAAGATGCTGTGTAATTTGAAAGAAAAAAAGAACCCATTTCCTTCCTAAGCTCTCTGCAATTTCTCTCCTGAAGGAGTGAATTTCAGGAGGCCTCATTGTCCTGTACATCAATAGTAAAAAGTCTGAGAACCTGCAACAGGCAAGGAATTGAGCTTTAATGAGCCTCAGTTTCCATGTCTGTAAAATGATATCACAGGCCAGCCAATTCAACTCATCCTTCTGAAACCTAAGCCAGATACCAAGTGTGACTGTTTATCGGATTAATAACCCTTAGTTATTGTGGGCTGATCAGGCCTGCGATTTCTCAAATGAGTGGACTGCCAAGGCTTAAATAAATGAGACAATTGAAATGATTTTAGGGGTCCAGGAGGGTCCAACCCTCTCACAGAATTCAAGATTCTCTGGGTTAAGACCAAGACTTCCCTGGGTGGCCTGTATTTATTTGAGTTTCAAACAAAAGAGGGAGATACTGAAGAAAATGTAGGAATCTGGGCAGGACTTGGGAGTCCCTCTAAGGACTTCTCCAAGTAATACTTTATGTTAATTTGGGAGAACTATGTTATCTCCAAGAAGGCCTTCACCACAGGAATGAGATGCCTGCAGCTATAGTCCCTTTTAGTTCATTGGGGTTGGAGCCAAACATCCTCAGCTGTGGCCTTGTCTTGTCCTTTGAAGCCCCATGGCTTTACTCACCATTACAGGCCTCAGTAGGGACCAGTGACTCACAAGTAAACTTGGAAAGCCAATTGGTTAATTTAAGTCCTGCTCAGAGCTGCTTCAGAGTGGTCTCCATCAACTTCTCATGATGAAGTCAATTTGACTGGATTAAGAAATGCCTAACTGGGGCTGGGCTGAACCCCAGACATCTTCAGGAAGCCCAGTGAGTCACAGTTGCACCTCTCTGACCAGTGTGTGAGGCAAGAGGAACCTTAGGTATCCTGTGGGACCTCAGTGGCTACTTGCAACATGCATAGTGTGTCTGTGGGTGCTGGGCTGAACCCTGGACATCTTCAGGAACCCCAATGAGCCACTGCTGCACCTCCCTGACCAAGGCAGGTAGAGCCCCAGGCACCCTCTGGGGCCTTGGTGGCTACTCCCCACATACATAGTGTGTGTGGGTGCTGAGCTGAACCCCGACATCTTTAGGAACCCTGTTCTAGTGCCTCCCCCACTAGTATATGAGGCACATGGAGCCCTGGACAACTTCTGGGGCCAGAACAACCCACACCCCCCCTGGGAGCCCATCTGAAACCTGGACAGAGTCAGCAGCTTTGGGGAGTCCGCCCTCACTCCTCCACTGCCAGTGTTGGAAACAAGCTCTGTCCAGGGCAATATCTGAAACCTCGGTAACCATGACCTGCATCCCCTCTACTCTTGTGGAAGCTGGGCTGAACCCCAGACAGCTTCAGGAACTCTAGCGAGCCTCGCCCACCATTCCCACACACACCTGGGAGCCAACTGAATGGAAGAAAGTTCAGGAACATCTGAGACCCCACCTTGCCACTGCTCACCAGCACAGGAGCTGCACTGAGCACTGGGGATCTTCAGACACTCACCCTTCCACTCACACACAATAAAAAGAGTGAGGCTGCACTCCAGGGAAGCTCTGGATCTTCAAAAATTACAAAATGAAGGAGCAAAATGCAATCTCAGACCTCCACACCACCCAAAACAAGTCCAGGAGACATCAACATAGAAAAGCCTGGAAGTCATACACCTGAAATTTCTGAAAATATAGCAACTGAAGTAAAGAAACAACTCCATCAGACCATAGAAGATATCAGATCAGGAACAATGTCTCAAGTAAAAAAAGAAATGATAACAATAATGAAAGAAGTGTTCAGCATATCCAAAGATGACATTGATAAGAAAATAAAAGAGCATAGATAACTCACAGAAACCTTGAGTGAACAATACAGAAAAGAACTAGAATGTATTAAACAGATTCAAACAGATACCAGGAAATTAAAAATTCCATTGAAAGCTGGCAAAACCACCTGAATGAAGCTGAAGATAGACTTTCAGACCTTGAAGACAGCTTTGAATGTGAAAGGAGGGATCTCTTAAAAACAACAAGGAACCAGGAAATAACAATTCAACAACTGCAAGATGAAGCAAAGAAAAATAATGTCAGATTAACAGGTATTCATGAAACAGCAGATATCAACACAAATGACATAAAAAGAGTATTTGCAGAAATAATAGCAGAAAATTTCCCAGGCATGGAAAAAGAAT